ATTTAATATATAATAATATTATAATAATATTTAGTTATTATTTATTATAAAATTATTATTACAATTATTAATAAATAAACTATTCATTTTCTCTCCTTTTAAGTTACACCATTATGAATCAAATTGTTATTTATATTGGATTTTATGTTTATCCTCAATAATAAAGTTATGAGTTATAACAATTGTTTTAATTATTTTAAAACTTAATGTACAAAAAAATAATAAAAAAATAATAATATGATAGTTATAAATCTATTTATTTATCTTTCTCTATCTATCTATATATAATGCTAATATCTATTTAATATATAATAATATAATAATATAATAATATATATTTATTTATTATTTATTATATATGATTATTAATAAATAAACCATTAATTTTCTCTACTCTTAAGTTACAAAATTATGAATCAAATTATTATTTATGTTGGATTTCATGTTTATCCTCAATAATAAAGTTATGAGTTATAATCATTGTTGTAATTGTTTTAAAATTTAGTGTAAAAAAGATAATAAAAAATTAATAATATGGTAGTTATAAATCTATTTATTTATCTATCTATATATATAATGCTACCCTATGCATTAAATAGGGTATGCATTTATATATATGAATAATAATAATTAAATTTATATATAATGTAAGTAATTGAAAAAATTAATCATTTGGTAGATGAAGAGGCAAGACCATAACCAGTTAATTTCTCAATGGAAGATAATTTAACTAAATATTATAGTATGATAATTATTAATTATTTATATTGAAAAGATAATAATATATAATATACGTAATTGAAAAAATTAATCTTTTGGTAGAGGAATAGGCAAGACCATAATATAACTAAATAATTTATCAATAGAAGACAATTTAGATGAATATTATAGGGTATACAAAATATTCATATACAAAATCTATACCCCATTTCATTAAATAGGGTATGCATTTATTTAAAATATTATATTATATTAATTTAAAATGTTGAAACAAAATATGCAAAATATATGAAATTTATAAATTATAAATAAATGATAAAAATAAATGAAAATTATAAAGGATAATGAAAATGATAGATAGGCAAATAATTGAAAGTTGTAAATGATGAAAATAATTAATGACTAAAGGGATGGATGAAGCAATGTTATCTTAATATAAAAAACCAAAAGTTTAAATATTTAAAAACTCCTTAATAGGTGTTGATGACCACTTAAGATTTCTCAAAATAAATGAAAAACCATTAAGTGAGAAAAATATAAAAAAGAGGGAGTCATTACTCATCCAAATTATAAGGTGGGATAAGTTATTTAAAATGAGTCTGCGTAAAAATCGAGATTTGAGAGTTCGGTTAAGAGTGAGGAAAAGCATACGCGTACCTCACAAACCTCCGTTTTAAGACGGTTGCATACTTTAACATTATATTTATATTTGGGTCTTAATAAACAAGCTTGAAAAAGAGATAAACCAAATTGCAACATTTTTAACCTTTTGGAGTAAAATGGACGAAATCAAAGACATGCATGCACAATGAACACAAGTAAAAATTAAAGGGACTAGTTTGATTAAATTCAAAAAAAAAAACATGAAGGATTGATTTGACTAAATTTAAAACATGGAGGATTGATTTGAAAAAAAGAGTTAGACCCTTGGACTAAATTGCTTAATCATAAAACTTTAGGATGAAATTGAAATGAAGAAAGATCATTTTGACTTTCACTAACATTAAAAGAAATTAAAGATTTAAATTAATTAATTATGATGATTAATTTAATCAAATGATTAATTTAATATTAATTAAAATTAATTAAAATTAATTAATCACATTATTAATTTTTAATTAAGATAATTAAATAATATAATTATCTTAAATTAAGATTAATAAACATGATTAATTTATTTTAATTAAAATTAATTAATTTTATTAATCATAAATTAAGTAATTATCTTAATTAATTAATATATATATACTTTTTTACCTTTTTTTGTTTTAGTTTTTATTATTATTATTTTTTTTACTGGATTAAATCGGGTTTACCTACCCAAGAACACGATTTGAGCATAAAAATAGACAAAAGAAGATTAAACACACACAATCAAAGCGGGAGAACCAAGATTCATGGAATTTAAACAATTTTTTGCATAACATGCATTTAAATACAAATTCAGTAAATACCCATTGCATTATAACAAATCTGTCATTCCTTCTCAACATTTTACATGTAAATCTCAGTACTCATCAACAAAATAACACGAGACATCAACAGAAATAGAATCCAAAGCGAAAATTCCAGGAAACGAAACAGTAGATCTGGTTCCAAACGGAGGAACCCCGCCCACGGGATCAAGCTCCGTTCGTCACCTTCACCATTCTTTTCCTGCAATTTCTCCAACCAGTAACCCGATGATGCCTCCAACAGAATGCTCTTCCTTTCACCAATGTTCTCAACACACAAACACCAAAAACACAGAAACAAAACAACCCCTCTTTCTCCGAGATCAACCAAATACCCCCCAAAATCAAACTCCAAAAATCAATCAACCACAGACCCCCATTCTTACTGCAGCTTCCGGCGATATCCCCAAACTCAGACCCAAAATCAATCAAGCACCCCCTCACCTCAAAAAAAAGAACCCGAAAATCAACTAGCCAAAATCGCCAAAAACCCCGAACTCCAAAATCCCCCCTTCAGCTCCAAAAGGAACCCAAGATCAACCAGCAAAAACCTCAAAACCGAACTCCAAAAATCAACCAAAGACCCCCCCTTTTCCAATCTGATTTTTTTCTATATATACCCAAACAATTCAATAAAATAAAATAAAATAACATAAAAAAAAACTTCCTCTGAGGATGCCGATTTGTCCGGTATTGTTGTTTTTTACTGCATGTGAGGCAATGATGGGACTGTAGCAAGCAGGATTGCAGGGGCGCGGGATTGGGGGTGAGGCGCGGTGTGCAGGGAGGCAGAGGCGTGGAGTACTGATGATGGCTCCGGCGTGCAGGGGCACAGTGCAGGGGGCGCAGAGTGCAGGCGATCTCGGCGCGCAGAGTGCAGGCGATTTGGTGCAGAGAGCAGGCGCGGAGAGGCCAGGGGCGGTAGCAGAGGGGCGCAGGCAGCAGGGGATCTGGTGCAGAAGACGCGGGACTGGGGCCAGGCTCGGTGCAGGGCAGGTGCAGGAAGCAAGGCCAGGCGCGGTAGCAGAAGGGCGCAGGTAACAGGGCTAGGGGTCTGGGCTCGGTGCAGGGCAGGTGTAGGAGCAAGGCTGGGCGTGCGAGGGGGCGATGATGGCTCGGTGCAGGGCAGGTTGCAGGCGTGCAAGGGGCTCGGGAGAGAGAAAAGTAAAAAAAATGAAAGAAGAAGGGGGAGGTTCGAGATGCCTTCCCCTTTTTTTTTTTTCGGTGTTTTTAATGGTTCTTTGGGTTTCTTTTTTTTAGGTTTGGTATTTGGGTTTTGGGCCTTTTTTTTTGTGGGTTTGGTTTTGGTGGGTTTTGGGTTTGGGTAATTGTGGGCTTTGGGTTTGGGTTTTGGGTAAATCATGGATTTGGGTAAATTGTGGGTTTTTGGGTAATTGGGTTTGAGTTTTGGGTTTTGGGTTTAACTTTGCATTTCACCCCTCCAACTTTCCATTTCTTCAATTGAGTCCTTTCTTTCTTCTTCTCCCACTTTCTCGTGAAATTTCCTTTTGCTTGCAAACCTAACAATGAAAGTAAAAATTGAACATATTAATTAAGATAAAAAACTAAAATGAAAATAAAATTTTTAAAAATTTTGAATTATGACAATAGGGTGAATGTTTAAATGTATAAACGCATATTTTCCCATCCTCTTTGATGACATCTTTATTCATGATTTTTTTCTATGCTCTTCCATTTGATCTTCCTCCCCACCTCTAATCGTTAGTTATTTTCTTTATACTAATATATCATATTCTCCTCTTCATCACTACAATTTCTTTTCAGTAATATGGTGAGTTTCAAATATCTTATCTTTTTTTTTTTTTTTGTCAAGTTTCATTGTAATACCCCAAAATTTCTAGAGCATTAAGTGTGAGTTAGGGACCTAATTGTGAAGAAATATCATTAATGAATGTAATAGCAAAAATTTTCAAAGTTCAGGGACTAAAAAAGAAAGGAAATTAGGATAAGGATCAGCTGATATTTTTATTCCTTTTCTTCCCAGCCATACACGTTTCTGCTCTGCTCTTCTTCTTCGTGCAGC